TGCAGACAAAATACTCACACATAGAAAATTATGAAATAGTAAGAGCAACAACAAGAACAATGACAGCAACAACAAAAGATTGTGTACCTGTCTTTTGGATGTTGTATCTACTCTTGAGAGAGTGTGAAGCATCCAGAAAGGCAGACAATCTGTTCTGGAGTCAGATCCCTCCAGGTAGGAGTGAAGAGAGTGGGGAGATGAGCAGGGGAGGCAGGGAAGTCAGGTTAGGTTCATCCTAGGGACACTGCTTGGTGCAGAGGCAGTTTGGGCCTTGGGTGTGGAGGCCAGGATAGCTAGACAGTCTTTAGGCTAAGGTTGATGCAGTATTTGGAACCCATCTGGAGAACTCATCAGTGCTGTGGAATCATTTGGACCATGAGAACTCTGTTTTAGATTATTCTAGGTATAGAAGCTTGGAGGAAAACTATCTTCATTTTTAGAAGCATAAAAATTCTGTATAATAGAAAGCTGCTTTGTGATGGCTGACTCAAGTGACTGCCAGCTTTCTCCATGCTGGGCTAGGGATGGCCAGGCTGTGATCGGAGGACCTAGCCTGTCTGTACACAGTCTGTCTGTGATGGATGCATGTGTACATGGTGGAAGGGGATAGGTTGCATCGATGGTGTTTATGAAAAGTTGAAGGTATGTGAATGCACATGGCATATTCATGTCTAGATGGAGAATGTCCCTGTGCACATGCTGGCACTGTGTACACAGACTGTATATATATGTGTGTACATGGACATAAGGCAGACTTGCTATAAGCTCTTATTCGCATTGTTTTTCTTTAGTCAGGCCTCTGCCACACATCTGCCTAGCGAGGAAGTAGTCTTGCTTTCCCTGCCATGGTTAGGTTCTCCCAGCTCCGGCCCCTGAGGCTCAGGGGTCCACACACTATGAACTTGCCTCTTAGCAGTTGACCTCAGACTGTCTGGCTCCACAGGGAGTCTGGCTTTCTGATTCAGTCCTTGGGAGCTTTTGTCATTTGTCAGGCATCTGCTTCTACATCTGAACCTCTCTCTCTCTCTCTCTCTCTCTCTCTCTCTCTCTCTCTCTCTGTCTGTCTCTCTCTCTCTCTCTCTCTCTCTCTCTCTCTCTCTCTCTCTCTCTCTCTCTCTCTCTCTCTGCTGCCCCTGGAAGAATGGGTAGAACCAAGTAATCTTTGCTGTGAGGTAGCTGGACCTGGAGGCAGTGTGGACACTCCTTCTCTGAAGCCCCTGCAAGGTCTGGGCCTATGCAGCCTCGCTCTTCCCCATAGACACCAAAGTGTTGCTTCCTAGTTGCCTCCCTGGGGGTGCTGAGGTCACTGAAATAGATTGCATTCCACCTGGGGACAGCTTGCTCCCCACAAGTCCACAATGGCGCCCCATCTGCAAAAATGCTAATAGCATACCATCAAGACACTGATCTCCCCTTCTTGCAGTTGGGGGGTAATTTCCTAGCTGCTACTCATGGGGTGACCTCTGTCTGCAGGGCCCTGGGGGTGCTAATCAGCAGAAACAGGCCTGCTGGAGCGTCCATCCATCCACTGTGGCAATGGCAGGTTCTCACAGCTGTAAGCCAACCTTGGGGCAGATGCTAGGGACAGGATTCCTTCCAGACTGACAGACTCCTGTACAGAGAGGCCCTGTGACTCTTGGGCTTCCCAGGAATGGTTTCAGCTCCTTGAAATGATCACAGCCTTAAGCAGCCAGATTAGAACTGTCTGATCTCATGAGGGCTTCTTGGGTGAAGTTTGTGTCCTGTATGTACCCGGACACAGACAGGACCCTTAATCCACACAGACATGATGTAATGTAACCCACATATCTGTGTGGATTAAGCCCTTTACTTGAAATGAAGAGAGGCCTTTGACACTCAGCCATAGTGTGACCTTTGGCCACCAGGCACCAGTAAGGGAATCACACACCCAGCATGTTTTAAGACTACATTGAGTAGCTGCACTTTGTGTACGATGAGTCTGCTCACAGGTGCAAGAGTCAGGAGAAGAGCAGCTGCTGAGACCTGTAGGCTGCTCTGCTGGGTCTCATGCAGGCAGCCCCAGGTCTGTGGACTGCCTCAAGCTGCCTGAAGCCGTGGGACCTTGTTTTCCTTTACTGGGCTGCTAAGTGGGGTTGGCCATTGCCAGCCCTCTCTGAATCCTTCTGTGTGTGTGTGTGTGTGTGTGTGTGTGTGTGTGTAATGCACAGAAGAACTCTACAGGCAAACAGAATAGTGTGAGCAAAGCTGCCACCATGTCCAAGCCCAGTGAGCCAAGCTGCCTCTGGGAACACTGCAGGCCACATCCCACAAAAACAAGAACCACCTGCATCCCCTTAGTTGGACAGAGAAGGTTCAGTGGGAACACTGTTAGGGCAGGAAATGGAAACGACATTTGCATTTTACCTGTGTACAGCTTCCTGCTTTCTGGCATAGCATTAGCTCATCTTGGAGGTGCTGCCCTATGAGAGGTGTAGCTTAGCTGGGGAGAGTCTCACATGGCAAGCAGAGGCTCATGGGATTACGAGGGAGTGATTTCTTATCTAATGAGGAAAGGCTTGGGCTAGGGAAGTGGCTCAGTGGTCCAAGGACTTCATACACGTGTGAAGGACCAAGTTTAGAACCTCAGAAGTCATGTAAAGGCTGGATGGACATGACTAACTTACTTGTAATTTCAGTCTAGGGTGGCTAAGAGAGCGGATCCCCAGTGCAAGCTAGGTAGAGAAAGACTAGTCATGCCCATGATGTCTGGGTTTGACTGGCAGATCCTGCCTCAGTAAGGTGGAAGAGTGATAGAGAATGAATTCCCAGCATCCATCTCTGGCCTCTGTGATGCATGCATGCCTCTATGCACATGCAAACATGCATATACATAAACACTTGAAAATAGATAAGGGGGAAAAGGAGATCAGAGGGACAAAGGAGGAAGCCACGGCCACTTTTACCTCTCTAACTTCCCATCTGAAAAGAGAGTGAGCTCCTGTCTCCTCCCTCCTTATCACATCCCCTCTCCTCCCTGCCACATCACTTCCTGTCTGTCTATACAGATGTCCAGACCTCTATGGTTAGCTAGTGGCTAGCTCTGCCATCTGATCTTCAGGCAAGCTTTATATGTTAGAGTGTAAACAAGATATCGCTACAAGGAAGCACGGATTTGTTCATAGGCAAAGGAACGTGGTCTTGAAGTCTAAGAGAAAATACTATCTGGTCCTGCCCTGGCTGTGTCAAAACAGGACTCTAAACAGCTGCCTGCCATGTTAGAAGTGTGAGGTGGCTTCTAGGCCTGGTCATCCACACTCCATCTGTTGATCGGGGGCTGGGAGCCCAGCTGTGTCCGGCTAGCTACGTGTTTTTCTTGTGTAAGCCATACAGAGGGAACTTGAACCACATTTGGCTTTCACCCAGCTGTTGACCATCTCAGTGACCTGTCACCAGCTTGGAGCAGCTTCCAGCTCATGGGGGCTCAGCAGGGGCTGAGTGTTCCTCTTGGAGTAGAAGCAGCCTAAAGCTCCATTTGCTCGACAGTAACCCCAGCTCCAGCCTAGATAGATAAGTATAGTAATGAGTAGGCACCGGGCATTTAGCACTCCCTTGGTGATGTCACTCAGGGCCCCTGGAGGTCCACATCTGTCCCCAAGTGGCAGAACTCTGTCTGATGAGCCTGCAGGGCAGGGAGCGTGGCTTTGTGCAGTAAGACTGTCTGCCATCCCTGACTCATCTGTATGTCAGCCTGCCCATCTGCTCGTCTGTGTGTCCACTGAAGGCAGACACAGTTCCTGCCCTTCCCCCTCAGTCATCTCCTGCTCTCCACATCTTAGAGCACCCCTCAGGGCCCCTCCCTTCTGTTCCTGGACCCCCTTTCCCACTGGGAAGGTTCTCAGCCCTTGGGGACAACAGCTGACAGCCACCCTCCTCTGTTTAATGATTCAGTCTCAGAGCCACAGGCTTCCTGGCTCTAGCTTCCGGTTCTCTCTGCCTCGCTTAAACAAGGCTCCAGGGACTCCTTGTCCAAATTAAGGTGGCACCTGGTGATAGGTTGGAATGTCCACATGTCCTATCTGTGAGAGACAGGAAGGCTGTGGGTAGAATGTACACCTAGAGAGGAGCTTTCTTGGACCTGCAGGTTTGCGTGCCCACTGGAGACTGGGGAGCCCAGGCAAGTTCCCCATAATGGCCCTGGCTCAGGAGGTCTCTTTAGACATACACAGGAGATAAACATAATGTTTGCCTGTCACTCGAGGGTGGGCTTTTATCTGTCACCATGCCAAGGGATGTGTCTGAGTTGGCATCTTTATCTCTGAACCAGTGGTTTCCACTTACCATGTATAGCACGCTTCCATAGTATACTTGAAAATTGCAGTGTTCTGATTTTGTCTCAGATGTGTGACTCCCCCCACCCCCTGCTCCTTCTCTAAAGATCCTGGCTGAAGACACTTGGAAGACATTCCCTAGACATTTGATGTGACTGTGTGACAGACAATAAGCCCTTTCAATTACTCGTAGGGGAATTAACAATGCATTGATTATATTATTTAATCATAAAGCAATTGCTTGTGAATTGTGTACAAATTATTTGTGTTTATGTAAGTCTAGAAGGGGTAAGTAAGGAACTGGAAGATGAAATGCTGAGATAATGGCCTGTCAGTGCAGGCACGTGTGTATCACATTGGGCAGAGGAAACCGCCATTGGTCCAGTGCTGAATAGGCTCTGTCCTCCTGTCCTCCTTTTCAGATGGGGATGGTGGATCTTCCTAGATTTAGATGGCATTTGGACAAGTGCTATGAAAACCCTAAGCAATATGTGTGTGCCTCAGTCATGGATATCCCGGGTGAGGCCATTTTGGGAAGCAGATAGAAGCATAGAGCAGACACAAGGTCTGCTTCTGGCCTAGAATGCCACCTTAAGTCTGTTATGTTGCATTGTGGTAGACTCTGCCTTTGGCTGCAGCCAAGCAGTCCAGCGTCAGGGTCAGACAAAGCATGCAACAATTAGAAAAGTGAATCCAATCTGCATTTTGCAGGATACAAGACCCTTTTGAAAGGGATCTCTGGGAAATTCAACAGTGGAGAGCTGGTGGCCATCATGGGTCCTTCTGGAGCCGGGAAGTCCACGCTTATGAACATTCTGGCGGGATACAGGTGAGCAGATGCCAGCAGAAAGGGCTGTGTGGGGATGGAGTCACTTAAGGGCAGTCATCACTGGGAGCATTTGAACATTTATAGCATTTTCTACCAAAAGCTCTGCTCACATGGGCTCCTGGACAACTGAGAGTCCTTGGGCGTGTGTACGTGCATGTGTGCTTGTGTTGTGCATGTTTGTGTTCAGAGCTGGAGAATTCAGGAGGAAACAGCACAGAACACAAGTACCAAAAGCCAGCACCTGCTGATTTCTGCACAGGGCATGAAGAAAAGACCACAGGCAGGCGGACAAGGCAGTTTCCTAATTAGCTCCACCCTCAGCCCACCTCCTGGAAAGGAAAGCATACCAAGGTCAAGATCGGGAAGAGCAATGGTTGGAAGACAGCCAGTAGGACGGTGTGCTGGACAGTTAGACAAGACATGGCAGAAGAGAATGAGGAGCTGCCATGCCCAAGGCTGTGGTTTCTATGGTTGTCCAGACTTCAGGGATCACTGTTCCCAAGGAAATGCCAAGATCCTTCATCTGTGAATGATTCTAAAGTGGAACCTTTTGAAGTGCTTAAGAAAGGCTTTCTAAAATCCTGCCCTCTGGTTCTCACAGAGCAAGGAGTGGCAACAGCAATGACCAATAGTTAACCATGGACCAAAAGAATTAAAACTCCATCCTAAACAATTCATACATTACTTGCACACATCTTTTTTAAAAGAAATATGAAATCTGATGCCACTTTTGTTCCATCTGGGACATGGATCAATGTAGTCACACTCTATGCCTATTAACTGTCAAGGCTATCAGATTGGCTGGAGATATATGGGATTTTGTTCAAGGGACCCTTGTTTTTCTTACTAATATCCCCAAAATATGAGGATGGGCATTGGCAATTTTATTACAACCCATTATAAGTGTTCCATTTTATTAGTGGTTATTATTAACTTCTTGCCATGCTTAATTTATAAGCTTTAACACACTCAGCATAGAAAATGTCATGGTCCATATAGTATAACAAACCCCCTGTGGTTTCAATATCTACCTAGAACTCGTCACTGAACCTTCTTGCTACTGTATCCTAACCCCTTGTAGGACGCAAAGGGTCTGTTTGGGCTCACAGTCTTGGAGGGCACAGTCATGGAAGAAGGTATGGCAGCTGAAGCAGCCGGGTTTCTGTCATTGTGCCCAGCTCTGCCCAAAAGGCAGGTAGAGTAGAGCCAGGAGCAAAGCCAGGCTTCAGCCTTTAAAGGCCTATTCTCAGTGACCCAATTCTACTACCCAGGCCCCACAGCAACCCCCCCCCATTTCAGTACCACAAGCTGGGGGCCAAGAGTTCAAGCACACCCTGTGGGGGACTTTCAGGTGCAAGCCAGAACATAACATAGTTCCTGAGGATAAACATGGACACCATAATACTAATGATTTCAATTACGGGGGGAAGGGGGTGGAGGTGGGGGGAGATAAATCTCATTCCTAGGGCTCTTAATTGCTTCTTAATATCAGAGGTTATGATCTTCAAAATTGTCACTGTGACAAGTTCTTGTCCATTACATTCACATCTGAAGATCAAAGCCAAATTCTCAACTCCCAGAGTCAAGACAGGTAGGGAGCCGAGTGGGGTATTGAAGCCGGCTATTTTTCAGAACATCATAGCAGGCTTGTGCTGCTATGAGGATGGCTTGTGCATTCCAGAGATGCAGAGGAATCCAGGGAAGCTGCCCATTGCCTGGGATGAAAGTAGGACCCAATACAAGGCCCTCAGACTTGACAGTGGGCCACGAGAAGCTGGAACCCAGGATGGTTTTATTAGTCACCACGGGTTCCATAATGTTCCTGTTCTCCATGGCCACGGGAAGGCAGAGCTGCAAAGCTGTGTCCTTGGGAGGAAAGAAAGATAGCTCCCCCTCCCCAGGGAGCCAGGCCTGCTGATGTTTAGAAGTGCCTGAGAGGTCTCCATCCATATCAGTCAGGACACAGGTCACAAGGTTCTCCCTTTGCATCAGGACCAGTTATGGGACTGAACCGTCATGGCTGGGATGCTGTCTCTGAGGCACCTGAGGCATGTGCTGGGTGCCTGGAGCAATTGGTGTAGTCTAGGCTGCAGATAGATAGAGTAGTCGGTGGTATACATCCTTGCCCTGTGGCTGGGTCAAGGGGCATTCCCAGGCATGTTTGTACAGTAGGCAAAGAAAAGAAACCATTTCCATCTGGTGCGATAAGCATGCCATTTGGGGGAAGCCTGGTGTGTGCCACTTGCTCCCGGAAGAGTGCTAGTGTGGTGCTCTGGGTCTCTGATTCCTCTGCCCTATCCTGTTGCCATGGTGAATGGTTCTGCTGGAAAGAGCCCAGGAGGGAGGGAGGCCCCCTCTCTTGTTTGCATCTCTGAGCCACCTGAAGGTGGGATGTTGAAGGAGCTGGTTGGCAGCCACATTCCCTTGTCTTTGCAGAGAGACTGGCATGAAGGGGGCAGTCCTCATCAATGGCATGCCCCGGGACTTGCGCTGCTTCCGGAAGGTCTCATGCTACATCATGCAAGATGACATGCTGCTGCCTCACCTCACTGTTCAGGAGGCCATGATGGTGAGCCACCCCTGCCCTCGGCACAATACAGACTTGTTGAACCCGGCAACATCCAGGTCACTCTCTCTAGCAGAGGTGCTGTCCCAGGCTTGCTGCTTACAAAGTGGAACATAATCTCCAAGAGTTGGGGTTTTAATAGATCTCATTTGGCAAATCTCAAGTGTCTGAGATTATTGATCACTAAGCTGAATGACTGTTTCCATGGCAACCACCTTCCTATTTCCCCATGGGCTAAGCAACTTCCCTTCTGCTTAATTAGGGTCTCTATTGTTGCAATAAAACACCATGAACCCAAAGCATGGCGGCAGGTTTATTTCAGCTTATAATTGTAGTCCTTCATCTAGGGTGGGGCACAAACATGGAGGCAGGGACTAAGGCAGGGGCCGTGAGAGGATGCTGTTTACTGGCTTGCTCCTCCTGGCTTGCTCAGCTTGCTTTCTTATAGCACCCAGAACCACAGGCCAATATGGTAGGGCCATTTTCTCAGCTGAGGTTCCCTCTTTCCAAAAGGCTCTAGCCTATGTCAAGCTGATATAATCTAGCAGACATATCCTCCATCACTGTCCTTGAACTATTCTGTCTTTGGTGGATTGCTAGTTCTCTGAGAACCTCACTAGACTCACCCATATGCCAGAGGAAGAAAACCAAGTCAGCCATTGCCAGCTACCCACAAGGTCTCGGCTATGCCATCTCCTGGGAGCAGGGGTGAGCAGAGCCTTGAGGCTGGGCTGCAGGGTTTGCAGTGCCATGTGGGGACTCTGAGGCAGAGATGTGGCTCCTCCAGGTCTCTGAGCGTCGTACTAACTTGTCTCCTTCTGTGATGTCACATTAGCCATAGCTATCTCATCCATGAGACTATCCCATGCTATTGCTGGGAGAGTGAATGAGTAGCACAGGAAGGAGGGATGCAACCTGGGCCTTGGGGATCCTCAGGGTTGTCCTCATAGGCCTGCCTTGGTTCTTTCCACTCCTGCTATGTCTTCTCACGTGTCTTCACTTGAGTCTCCGGTACATAAGTCCAGGAGGAGTTTAAAAATACCTTTCCCTCTGGGGCCATGCACGTATCCAGATGATGCCTGTATCATCGGTTTCCAGAACAGCCAGTCCGCCTTCTTTGCACAGACCATGTCCCCACCAGTGCAGGAACTCTGGGCTTCTAGGATCACTTTTTTTCTTTTTTATAAAGACCTACCCCACAGTCAGTGAGAGCTCATGTGATCTCTTTGTGGGTAGAAGAAGCCTCTATAGACTGTCTCTCATTAAAGGGTAATTTACAAACCAACACTCAGCTCTGCTTGGTGGCCTCTGATTGTCATGGTTCACTTTGTGCCTAGCCAGCGCTGTTTCTCTGCTTTCTCGGTGCCACTACATAGAGTCCCATTGGGATTGTCCCTCCCCTGGTCCTGAAGAGGACATTGTCAGAGACTCTGTACTTCAATTAGCAGATGCCCTGTCATATTGGTGGCCTTACATGGAGAGGTCTTACCTCACATTCATGACTTGGAATGGGCAAAGCCCAGACAGTGGCTACCACACAGCACTTTGTATGATTTCAACAGTCCTTTAATTCAACAAAGAAAAGTAGGTTAAGATTTCAGAGCTGAGATTTGCTCCTCGACCTGGTTTGTGGGAAAACAGAAAGGGGGGACCTGGCAGGGTTACCCTCGCTCTTCTGCCCTGGTACTGAGTAAGGGAACGACCACCCAGCCTCTATGGACAGTGACTTTAGGGAGATCTGCCTGCCTACCTGACCTCCAGCGGGGCTTTGATGGGCTTAGAGGATGCAGAAAGGTTTTGCACAAAGTGCAGGGCAGGCAGCCTACCAAGGTTTTCCTCACCCCAAGTCTCATCCTTCATGTACTTGCTTACTCCTGTGAGTCCCTGATGGCCCTCCATGTGTTGGGGGACCTGACTGTAGCTCTGGGTGAGTCACTGGTGGATGGCTGTGTGGTTGCTGGTGTGAGAGCCATCACTTTGCCTAACTAACTCCACCACTTTTCTCTTGTGTGGCGATTGTTTCTCCTCTCGGTTTTTCTGTGATATGCATTTCAGAATCACTTGTCCTCAGATGAGGGCATTGATGGTACCAGCTCTAGCTGTCCTGGAACTCACTGTGTAGACCAGGTTGGCCTTGAACTCACACAGATCTGCCTGCCTCTGCCTCCTGAGTGATGGGATTAGAGGTGTGAGCCACAACTGCCAGGCAATTGTGTATTTTTATGTGCTTCTCTTGCCTCATGTCCATCCTGACACATCCTTGGGACACGAGGTCACAAGATAGGCAGCTGGCCTGGTAGAGGTGATGTAGGCCTTCCCTTGTCCCCCATCTGAGGCCTGGGGCCTCTTCAGTAACACACACACACACACACACACACGCACGCGCGCGCACACACACACACACACACACACACACACACACACGGCTTGCCTCTCAGTCTCTCATTTGACCCCTTTAGAAACTTTGCCAAATGAGGAGGTAGAGTTTAAACTCATTTTTGTTCTGGTGAGGGAACTGAGGCAGGTGTGCCCAAGAACATAGAGTCTGGTTTAATTGAAACAGGCTGAACCTGGCCTAGGTGATTCTGTCTCAGGGTTTCACATTATACTGAAAGGCTAGGAAGCCATATTACACTGCAAGGCAGGGGACCCATATTATACAGCAAGGCTGGGAACCCACATTATACTGCAAGGTTGGGAACACCATAATATACTGCAAGGCCAGGACCCCATATTATACTGCAAGGCAGGGGATGCCATGCAACACTGTAAACACATGTAAACAGGATCTGAGTAAACAAACCAGGAAGTTTACCCTGTTGTCACACGCCTGCTATCTGCAGATCCTTCCAGGGTGACAACTTCAAGTCAGCAGTGGTTTAGCACCTGATGCTCTACTGGTCCCCTCCCAGGCTGCCTTCAAACCCTGCTGCCTAGGGTTTCCTTGTCCCTGTGCTGGAACAGACACCTCATGGGGACACCTGAGATAACCAGAAGCATAGCAGACCCATATAGCTCTCCTAGACCCTACGTCTATAAGGCCATTTAAGTGAGAAAAAAAAATCTCATGAATCCATCAAGCAGCTTAAAAGTTGCTGGGACTGTGGGCCCTGGTGTGGCTTTGAACCATGGTGTGGTGTTAACCGTGGTGTGGCCCTGGACCTTGCTTAGATCCTGTGGTACCCATCCTTCCAGATGCTACCTCACTGTTGTCATTATTACCTACAGGTGTCTGCACATCTGAAGCTGCAGGAGAAGGATGAAGGCAGACGAGAGATGGTGAGTGTGATGCTCCAACCACACGTGGCCCACATCGTGATGGAAGCCCATGTGGAGATTGTCAGGGAGGGCTTATTCCTCTCTTCTACATTTTTTTTCATATATATTATATATGCCTCTCCTTGGGTGTATATGTGGGCATCAGAAAGGGCGTGGCAGGGTGCAATGGCTGAAGTCCAGGAGAGATGGTTCTGGGAATAGATTGATGATTAGATTGAGCAGTCTGCAGCCTTAGCCCCCACCCCATGGCTAGAAGATGCTAACCTCAGGACCTGGCCAAGGGCTCCACCCCCTTGGGTGTTTAATACATTTCAGATTAAAATATATTTTTATGAAATGCTGACAGTGGAGATGGTTTAGTCATTGGTTTAAAAATAACCTCCTCCACCCACATACCTTTGCAAGGAGGAATTGGGCTCTTATGTGTTATTAACCAGTCTTTCAAAAAGAAAATAAAAACATTCCCAGATTATCTGAGACTTTCCTCCTCCATTTTATCAGTTTTCCTGACTCCTGAACCCTTAAGAAGCAGGGAAGGAAGCAAGCAGGACCCAGCAGGAGCCCCAGGAGGTCATGGGGAGGGGACGAGGCTTGCAGATCAGTCCTTCTTCACAGGCTAGGGGAGAAGCTCAGCTTGCCTTGTCATCTTTGCTGTCCCTAGTGCTACTGGAATGCTCTGCTGAAATAAATGTAGCAGAAACTCCCCAATGCCAGGCAATGTGGGTAGTGCAGTTGCCTGGTAGTTGCCAGGGACATTGATAGTATCATGTGAGATGCATTGTTTAGCAGGACATCATTAAATACTTACCTAAGGAAGGGTTTTTTATAATTCTTCTCACATGCATCCTCCTTTTACTGCCCCAAATGACGAATGAGGTGTAGATTAAGGCTGGCTGTGAAAAAGCAACTTCGGGCAGCCCTGAGCAGCCTAGGACTCCCCCTTCCACTTTTTCATGCGACCCTCACTGCACTGGGATTCTCTATTATGGTACTGGGGTGTGCAGTGTGGAGTGGGGGAACTCATTTCTGAGATGAAAACAGCTCCCTGGAACCACTATAAGTGTTTCCTGTGGAATTCTCTTGTTCTGAAGTTGAGGGGAAGAAATGGGACCATTTGTACCCAACACAGAGAAGATATGGGGGCCACATGTGGGCAACAGAAGGGGCTTGTGACCTTATGGTGGGGAGTGAGCTTCAAGAGCCTTTGTAGTCTCCAGTCTTTTCTGAATAATGTGACTGAGAAGGATACCACTGCCCACCCCCCCACACACCTCCCTTGACTCCCACCCTCTTCTCTACCTCCACTGTCCCTAAGAATGAAGACAAGGAGAGACATGCTTAGGGGCTGAACCCCCTCCCCTAAGAGGCTATGCTAAAATTCTAACCCTAGTCCTTCAGAATTAACAGGCTGCTTGCAGAGATGATTAAGATAACACGGGGTTATTGGGATGGCTCTGATCCAGTGTCAGTATCCTTACAAGAAGAGGTGGCCAGGGCACAAGCACACTCAGGAGAGAAAATTACCAATTGCAAGCCCAGAAGAGAGGAATCAAGAGGGGCTGGGAAGAACCAGTGCCAGCCACCACACCTCGGGCACACGCCTAGCTGGCATTTCAGTGTCTATGCCCTCAGGTTGAGATACTTTGTCATGGCAGTCCGAGCTGACTCAAGTCAAGCAACTGTTGGGATGACAAAAGAAAGCTCTGGAAAGGAAAAAGGAAAGAGAGGAAACCAAGCATCAGAACACTGTGAGCCAGGATGAGCCTGAAACCCACACCAAAGGACCAATGGGCAGGGTCCTCCATCCTTTGTCTGCTCCAGCACTCCCTGCCCTGCATTCCATCTTCTACTGATGAGAAGGACGGTCACCTGAAGGTCACCTGCTGCCGGAACAGCAGTGGAACCATCAGAAGCCAGAAGGAAGTCCGGGTGGAGTTGTCCCCTTTGGAGCATCCTTGTGGATCAGAAGACTGTGGTAGCTCTGGGACTGCCTCCCATCCGGTCCTCTGTGGCTCAAGTCTTTCAGACCCTAAGGTCAATGTGAGTGTAGGATGGAGAGATGGAGGCAGGGCTATTTCTCCACAGCTGTGGCTCTGTGGCCAGCCTTTCTCCACATGTAGCTGGGGAAGTAGACTTCATGTGACTCAGGCCTCTGAGCAGATGACCACTGTGAGGCAGGCATTTGGCCTCCCATGCCACTTTGCCTGTGATGCTGTTTGGTGCTGCCAGAGTCTAGCTTCCAGCCCACTCTTCTGCTGGAGTGGAAGACAGCAGCCTTTGGAGAAGCCTGGAGCCTTCTGGGAGAAGTCAGAGCTAGGCCTCAGACTGACAAGACTTACATGTGCACATCCTCAATCATCTTGGTCCAAGAAAGGTCCCCGAGAGAGTCAGGCCTAAACATCATCCGATAGTGGTCTCTGTGTTGAGTGTCATAATAAGCCAGCCATGTAGGATTGAGGCGCTGGCATTTCCTTCATGTGTTTGTTTACCAGAGTTCTCAACTTGCTACGGCCCTCTTCTCAGATGAACACAGTTCCTGCCTCTTCTAATAGCCCATAACCGATGTCTCAAGGACAGATTTGCAACTGAACACTACCCTGACTCATTTCCCGGCAGCTCTTGAAGCTCCTCAGTGAATGCTTGGTATAGCATGTGGAAAAAACAATGGAATGGAATGTTCTAGTACATCATGGAGTATGTTGTTCACAGACTCCCTTGTTTCCCAGAAAAGGCAACTTGGCCACGAGGAACCCTCTGGTGTAGCTGCTTCCTTGAGAGGGACGTTGCCATGGGCCAGTCTGGGGCTGCTGAGACAATCCCTGAGGTGGTGGATGAGACCCCAGGAGGACTTGAATTATAAGTGGCCGTGGGTATTTGTTTTGTTTTGTTTTGTTTTATTTTGCTTTTTGTTGGTTTGCTTATTTAGGGTAACATAAAAACAATGACCCTGTTGGTTTTTGTGTTTTGTTTTGTTTTGTTTTTGTTTTTCTTTCTGGCTACTTTTAAACCAAAGCCAACCTGGATGGAATTACTTCTGAGACAAGGCTGGAGAAATGAGCCAGGCCTGATGGTTGTAGAAACATAGTCATGTGGGCAGGACAGACAGCCACCAACTGGTGGCCTCTGTTTCCACTTACCTGCCACGAAAGTGAAGAAAGGGGGTACACTTAGTGTTTGGAATGCTCCCACAGAGGAAAGGACTCTAGCCACTCTGACAGATCCGCCAGCTGCCTGGAAGAGGATGGAAGCCTTGTGCCGGAAGCGGCAGGCACTGTGGCAAGAAGCAGAACTGCGGGAAAGAAAGGCCTGTTCGCTGTGGTGCCACCGCTCTGGCCCTTCCTGGACAGCCACACTGGAGCTGTTCCCAGGCTGACAGTCACCTCTCAGAGGCATGGCATTCCATGACATGGTGGCATCAGTGAGGATAGACAGAGCAGCACTTGGTCACAGGTCCCTGGACTGTGCTCCATGCCTGCTCCCAGCCCCGCCAGCACTGGATTCCCAGTGGCTCTGTCACCAGAGTTTCAGTCTGTACTGACCACGCATAAATAATCCCGAAGTCCAGAGTGGAAAGTTTTCTTCTTTTGAGTTCTCCTCCTCTTGGATGACCTCATCTCCCCAGAGAAGCCTCTGGCCAAGGTCTTCCTGGTATGGCCACCAGGGACTGGCTGCCTCGGAGCTGTCCTGCCTCTGGGCAAACTCTGGAGGGAGTCACTGAGTACCCTGGAGAAGAGCCTGGCAGGGATGTGGCAGCTGGATGAGCCTCTTCTTCCCAAGAGTCTGCCGACCTGTTTGGACCCTGAGATAATACTAGGTCACCACCCTAGGCCAACCAGAGGACTCTGCCTGCACACAACTAACTGGCCTGTCTCTGTTCTCAGCCATCATCTCAGGGCCCTGAGCACAGGGTGGCCACTGTGTCACTTACAACATAGGTGTACTTGCTGCCTTGAGCCACTCACCGTTTACCCCCCCCATTGGCATCCTGACAGGGATGGCTTGGGGGGGGTGTCAGGAAACTCACTCACATGCTTCATATGAGACGAAAAAACGAGGGTGGTAACTGTTGGGTATTTACTGTGTGCCGAGTGTTCCAACAGGACACTTTGCAGTCATTACTGCGTTTGATAGCCAGTGATCCTTTGTGCTGGCCACAGACCTGATCATCCATCTGTTTATGTGTTCATTAATCCATCCCTGATCAAATATTTATAGGCCATTTCTTCATGCCAGACGTTAGGCTTGGATTAGAAGTGAAGGATGACATCAGATCACCAGCCAGAGGCTGAGTGAAGACTCCAGCCCTTGACTTGAACTCCCAGCATGCTTCTTGCCTCTTGACAGTTCTGCTTGTCCCTCCAGTCGGGACCACAGGTTTAGAGACAGCACCTGCCACTCACTTGGATTGGCCTGGGACAACCCAGCAGTGTAGACATCTGTGTATGAACTAGCAGGGTTGTGCCCAGCAGGGCAAGACATCCCACAGAGCTCAGCCTGTGTCCCTGATAGCTATGCAGTTGGAAGGTTGTTTCCTAATAGAGACTCTGGGTTTGTTGCTGGCAGGTTAAGGAAATTCTAACAGCCCTGGGCTTGCTGCCCTGTGCCAATACACGGACGGGGAGCCTATCAGGAGGCCAGCGGAAGCGCCTGGCGATTGCACTGGAGCTGGTCAATAACCCTCCTGTCATGTTCTTCGATGAGCCCACCAGGTAAGCCTAGGTCTGACTGGTGACCAGGGAAGGACAGGGAAGAATCCCTTCTGGAGTCTATTCTGAGCTCCTTAGAGGTGGGCCTGCCATCTTGGTGTGGCCTTGGAGGAGCTTCAAGAGACTGCCCCATCTGTGGGATGGAATAAAGCCACTGGCCCAGAGGCTTGTGTGCACTTGGGAGGTGGGGTACTGAATATGGAGAAGTGGTTGGAGTTTGGAAACAGCCCCTAGTGTCCCTTTCTTCCTTGTTCTGGAGCTACCAGTGGTATAGCACCCTGAAGGATAGTGTTGTGGGGTGTTCTGAGGAAGGAGAATGATTTCCTGTGTTTTGAATACCCCCTCCCTTTTTGAGTGGCTCACTGCCTTTGTGTGACCATGGGAATTTTGGCTTCTGTCCTGGACACACCTGCTTACATTTGGGGAGATGCTGGTCTCAAGTCCTGGCTCTGGGGCACACTGATCACTAGTTAGTCAGCCCATCTTTCTTGCAATTGTGTTGTATTCAGACATTCCCAACAAAGGAGGCTGGCTACTTGGTGTCTGTCCTGACTGACTTTATCCAGACTTTGTCATCTCCTTCCCACTGTGTACTTATCTCATGGATGACCACTGAACTGAGAGCCATCTCCAGCATCCCAGGGAGGGTTACACTGAGTGCCTGGCTCACAGTGGGTGGTCCTTAGGAGCACCCAAAAGACAACTGCAAGAACCCTGGGGGAAAGTGAGCGCTCATGGCTGCCCACTGTGACTCATTCTCCTTGTTGGGAGCTGCATAGTAGAAACAAGATGGGGTTGGGAGTGTTCAAGCAGGAGAGGAGAGAAGAGAATTCACCCAAGGGTGCCAGGTCCTGGCCAAACCCTGCATTCCTCAGGATGATACCTCCCCAAAAAAGGCTTCAGTATAGTCAATAAAACATCAGAAAGGAACACAGTCACAGCTCAGCCCACCCCCTCAAACAGACCCCAAGTGGGCGAAGGATGTGGCATTGGGACTATTGACTGCCAGGCCTCAGTGCTTACTTTGGAGCCCAGCTATTTACCTGGACAGTTCTGATGTCTCTTGCCAAGACAGGTGGGGATCCCCTCCCCATCCCAGAACCAGTCCTCCAGTAATCTTTTGGGCTCCTGCATTCTTGCCAGGAGAGACATACAGTGCACACAACCCTCTCCAAAGTGCCACCCTTGAACAGTTACTTACACAGGTTGAGAAGAGCATGAGGTTGGAGTGCACCCACAGGTCTTGTGACAAGGCCCTCCCTCAGCAGTGACTGCTCAGTCCCCCAAGACCTGGGGCACTGGGCTTGCCCCTCACATTCTCAGCTTTTCATGGTGTCTTTAACTTGCAGTGGCCTAGACAGCGCCTCCTGCTTCCAGGTGGTATCGCTCATGAAAGGGCTGGCCCAGGGCGGCCGGTCCATCGTCTGCACCATCCACCAGCCCAGCGCCAAGCTCTTTGAGCTTTTTGACCAGGTACATGGGCCCCACCCTTGTCCAGGTCCTTGACCTAGATCTCCACCCCAGATTCCATCTGAAGATCCCTGACGAGACTGAGAGATAGCCTTGGAAATTAGACCCTGGGTCCTTATTCTTTCTACTAGTTTTCAGGGTAATTAGTTGACTGGCTGGTTAACTAGCTGGTTGACTGACTAAATGACTGGTTGATTGAATAACTGGCCGGCTGGCTGGCTGACAAGCTGGCTGACCAACGGGCAAGCTGGTTGGCTGGCTGACAAGCTGGCTGACCAATGGGCAAGCTGATTGGCTGGCTGACAGGCTGACTGACAAGCAGGCTGACCCGATTGAAGGACTGACTGAGTGAGAGCCTCTGTTGCTTTCCAGAGATGAAGGCTGTGATTGATGCATTTCTCTCTTTGTTTCTCTCTTCTTCTCCCTCAGCTTTACGTCCTGAGTCAAGGACAGTGTGTATACCGGGGAAAGGTCTCAAATCTTGTGCCGTATTTGAGGGATTTGGGTCTGAACTGCCCTACCTACCACAACCCTGCGGACTTTGGTGAGTAAAGCCCACCCAGCTGGAAGGAAAGGGAAGCCCCTCCCAGTCTTCTGTGTTCCACTGTGACCTGATGCCTGAGTCTGGAGTCACTGCCATATCTCATCAGTGGAGCAGAAACAGGCCATTGTGTGGTGGTAGCTCAGGCAGGCCTCTCTCCAGGCTCTGCCCTGTCTTTGCTTGGCCTCACCCTCTGTCCGTTAGGTATCCCCTCTATGAGACACTGGTCACTAGACTTAGGACCTGTGCTACATCCGTGCCTGCTTCTCTATAAGCACCCTGCTACTCAGAGACACGCACAAAGCTCAGCCGGACAACCCTTCCACAGCTGTATTTCTTTCAAACATCTGGCCACTCAGCTCCCAGGGCTCTATATGTCATTTCCCAACTTGTGGTCAGGAGTCCTTGACCATGGGAATGTTCCTCACCCACAAGAAGCATACTACCACAGAGTGGGGAGGGATGGGAGGAGACAGGTAAGGGAAAGAACTGGGCATATTTAAAAGCCAAGGGGGAAGATCTTGTTTGTAGTTGGCTTATTCCCTCACCTCCCAAGAGAGAGTAAGAGAGAAGAGCCGGCAATAGGCCCTGTTCATCGGGGAAGGGGAAGAGAGTGGCCGCAGAGGGGAGGACAGGTGTGAAGATGGCACGTGTCTGGTGAGATGAGGGTGTCTCTGCCCAGGGTTTTAGGAGTGGCGTGATTACCCCCAAGGAGTTTAGAGGTGGATTGGTCAGTGCTGGGGGCTTGCTTGGTGCTGTGAGTGACGCTTTTCCAGAGGTGCCCAACCTGTCCTGGCTTCAGCTTGATGTGCCACTTAGAAAAGGAGCTGCTGGTTTGTTGATGGGTACAGGGGAGGAGGGGGTCTTTGAACATGAGCAGCATGGTATAGAGATGAGGGCTGTGCTACACAGGGAGGTGTGTATGTGGGAACAGGACACACAGGTCTCTAGACAACAACAAATTGTGGTTACCATGGAGTGAGAGGGGACCAGTCAGTAGCCACAGTAGGCATGTGAGGAAAACCAGGGGAGAAGCTGCTTGCTGGGAAGTGAGGGGTGTGGCCCTCGGTCTCCAGCCTCAGAGCAATAGACCTGGGTGCTGTGGGCAGCCCTCCCCTGTGGACCACCCTTTTACTCAGCAGGGAGCCCAGCTTCCTCCTACTGATCTCCCACTCCAGCCCATGCTGGCCCAGAGCAAGGCATTCAGTGTGCAGATGGTCATGGCATAGATGCATGCGTTCCTCGCTTTCTGCGTGAGCTGACAGCATGACACACGTTTGTTTGTTTGCATTTCTGGTCTCCTGACACCATGAATGGCTTACTGGGGGTTCTGAGGGAACATCAATCAATCAGCAACCCACTGCTGTGGCTCTCAGGCATGACCATAACTCACTTTTAAAGCATTCCCATTACCATACAGACCTTGCTGTCATAAAGTGACAGAGACCCTCAGTTCCCATCAGCACTGTGGCGCTCCTTCCCAGGAGTCCCCGTCTCACTTCACCTTCCATGTCCTCTCCTGCAGTCATGGAAGTGGCATCAGGCGAGTACGGTGATCAGAACAGCCGCCTAGTGAGAGCCGTGAGGGAGGGCATGTGTGACTCTGACTATAAGAGAGATCTCGGGGGCGACTCAGATGTGAACCCATTTCTTTGGCACCGGCCTGCTGAGGAGGTAAAGCAGGTGGGGGGATTGGAGTGGTCTGGAGATGGGTCCTGTAGAGCCTTTCCTGAGCAAGGAGGGCATGGTGGGCAGAAGGCTCACTCACCCCCTTCACCATGTGTCCTCAGGACTCTGCCTCCATGGAAGGCTGTCACAGCTTCTCGGCCAGCTGCCTCACCCAATTCTGCATCCTTTTCAAGAGGACCTTCCTCAGCATCATGCGGGACTCGGTAAGGGTGTCCTTGATGGCCTGTTTACACACACACACACACACACACACACACACACACACACACACACACTTCAAGTTGCTGTTCCTTAGCTTGTATCAGTCAGCTGTCATTGTTGTGCTGCAGTAACAAAAGGTCACAGGACCCAGTGTGTGTCTTGCTGGTGTCATATATGTGCTGTGGGTCGAGGTGGGCTTGGCCCCATCTGTCTTCTCACTCCAGACCCCAAAGGACATGTACAAAAGTGCTAGAGGAAGGCACAGACCTGGGAGCATGCAGAGAGGGAGGCAGGGGTGATGGAAGTTGGTTAGCACTGTGCTGCCTGCCTGAGGAGGCTGAAATCCAGTGTAGCCTCAGGGCCCTGAGCTGGAAGACCTGTAACTTACCATGGGTTCATGGTCATAGCAGCACAAGCCACAGCTTAGCAGGAGGCATCCAGTGCAGCCGTCCCCACCATTGCTTTGTCTCCTCTGAGGGAGACCAGCCTTGTTCACCAGCTTTGAAGAGAAGCGGAAAAGCATAGATAGAGATCCTGTTTCGGAAGTACATGGGCTTGGTGTGTGTGCGTGTGCACGTGCACGTGCATGCGTGTATGTGTGTGCGTGTCTGTGTGTGTATGTGCGCATGTCTGTGTGTGTGTGTATGAGTATGGGTGTGTGCATGCATTTGTGAGTGTATGTGTACAGACATGTGTATGTGTGTATATACACATGTGTGTACATACACATGTGTGCTTACATGCATGCAGTGATAAGGCTTTGATTATTTTCCTGAAGGAAAGGGAAGGTGGCTGATAGGATCTCTGTCATGGGAGTCAGAGTCCGCTGCCTCCAGGGTCTCGGGCTTGTTCTCCCCTGCATGCTAGTGCACTGGATGAGAGTTGTGCCTGCCCTTAGGTGCTGACACATCTGAGAATCACCTCACACATCGGGATCGGCCTCCTCATTGGCCTGCTGTACCTGGGGATTGGGAACGAAGCCAAGAAGGTCCTGAGCAACTCTGGCTTCCTGTTCTTCTCCATGCTGTTCCTCATGTTTGCCGCCCTCATGCCCACTGTTCTGACCTGTGAGTGTCCCTTCCCTTCTAGCCAATACTCCTCCTGAGCCATGGCAACTGAGGCCTTGTCTTGGTCGGGCATGACTTTTATGCACACAGTGTGTTGAAGCTTCAAATTCAACCTTTATATGTTGACAGAACAGGTTGTATTGTCACAGGACCAGGACTTGGCTCTCATCACCTATGTTGAATGACTCACAACCATTTATAAACACTAGCTGCAGGGAATCCAATGCCTCTGGTCTCTGTGGGTACCTGCTCACGTACAGAGTACACTCACATTCACACACACACACAGAGAGAGAGAGAGACAGACAGAGAGACAGAGATACTATGTTTAGTACAGACGATTTGCATCTCAATGAAAGACAATGGAGAGAAATTCACCAAAGTTTGCTACTGAAGAGACCTTCACATCTGACTTGCTGCCTGTGCCCACCTGACCAGTGGAGTTCAGCTATTCAGGTGGCCTAGGGTGGTTACCTCTGGCCACATTAGGCTGCCAGGTACAAAGCAGAAATCTAGTGATTAGAGAGCTGATGAGTCCAGCAGGGACAGGGCTTGTCAGAATGGTCCCATTAGCCACCATGGGGACACTTGGTGTTCTTAGGGACATGGTCTGTTCTGAGTCTTCATGTGACCCCTTGGATCAATTTTTTTTTTCCAAAAGCACATTAAGGAAGAAAGCATTTATTTTTGGTGTACAGTTCCAGAGCCAGCATCCATAATGAGGGGAAGGTGGGGCACGCCTATAGGCATACATCTGCATATATGAAGCAGCAGATGAAAACAGGAAATAGGTGGAGGCTACAAACCCTTAAATCCCACCCTCCAGCGATGCACTTCCTCCAGCGATGCACTTCCTCCAGCGATGCACTTACTCCAGCGAGGCTCCCCCTCCTAAAGGTTCTATGACCTCCCTAAACAGCGCCACCTTCTGGGGACCAAGTGTTCACAGACATGAGCCTGTGTGGGGTTACTTCTCATTCAAACCACCGCATAACTCTCTAGATTACAGAAATGGCTGATGATTTCCTTTTTCCAGACCAATGAGTCTGGTTCCATCTTTTGTTTAAAGTCCGAGTACTGGAGTGTTGGCCCACACTGTGACATAGGTCAGAACTGCTAGGATTTGGCCCAGGGCCATTCATGTGCATGTCTGACTCATTGGCTGTGCCCACCTAACCAGTCTCTTCTACCTTCATGTCCTAGTTCCCCTGGAGATGAGTGTCTTCCTCCGAGAGCACCTGAACTATTGGTACAGCCTGAAGGCCTACTACCTGGCCAAGACCATGGCTGATGTCCCCTTCCAGGTATATGAGCCCGGTGACTGGCAATAGGGGACAGGAATTTTCCACACTCACAGGGCTGGGTGGGACTTGTTTCTACTAATGTTCTACTGAGAGGCAAAGCAGGGTTCGATGGGATCTTTGGGGGGGTCTGCAACCGGAAGGGCCACAGGAGACAACCGTCCACTGGTGGGACAAGCAGAGCTCCCAGGGACACAGGCTCTGTGTTTGCAGATCATGTTTCCCGTGGCCTACTGCAGCATCGTGTACTGGATGACGTCACAGCCGTCAGATGCCGTGCGCTTTGTGCTGTTTGCTGCCCTTGGCACCATGACCTCGCTGGTGGCCCAGTCCTTAGGCCTGCTGATTGGAGCAGCCTCAACATCTCTGCAGGTACAGCCAAGGAGGTGCTGAACAGCAACAGCACTGGGCTTCCCTCTGCCTCTATGAGGCTCGGTGGTCCCCATACCCTTACTTCTGTCCTGAACTTCCAGAAGTCTTCACAAAGCTGTTCTCATGGGAATAAATGGCATTGCCCTCAGTGGTTAGGACAATCTTCTTACTGAGAACTAAGAGAGTGGGGTGCCTACACACTGCACATGCCCAGACATGAGGAGGCTACAGTGCTTTCCAAGTGTCAGCATATGTTGTATCAAGAATACTGCAGAACCCCACTTTACAGGTAGGGAAGACTAAGGACCAGAGATGCCTTGATTGATTGGCATTGCACAGCTGGTATGGAGGCCAAGCTCTCCAATCCTCTGTTTTGCCTCTGTAGGTCCCCTTGACCACTCCTTGGCACACCAATGGTGGGTACCCACTCTTCACCTCACCCTGAGCCTCACATAGCCCTTCTCTGTCTCCTTGAGCCTAGTCTCATCTCCAACCCACAGTTACCTCCCTGTTCTTACAAGCCAAAGCCACCAGAGGCTCTTGAGGGTCCATGCCATCTTCCAAGGGCTTCTGGGTACCACATGCTTCCCAGTTCATCTCTAGTTCCTCTGCATTGGCTTCCTGGCCTACAGGTCTAGGTTCTTCATTCAGAGGTAGGAGTAGCCATGGTGTCTGCCTCATAGCATTGTCATAAGGAAACAACACTCTGAAGAAGGGCCTGGGGTATACCAGCCCTAGATCAGGCCCATAGAACATCTGTCACCCCCCCCCCATGTAGGCCTCCACCCCAGTGTAGCCCATGCATCCTGACAGTCCCACCCACATATCAGAACCATGATGTCTTCATAAATGGCTTTACCCCCTGTGTTGACCCTCCCCACCCATTTCACCATTTCAGACCCTTCTGCACCCCTCCCCTCCTCCAAGAGCTTTGGAGCCCAGAGGGTTAATCTGACTGGGTGCTGGATGTCCTTTAAGCTCATGTACATACAACACAAACACCACACACAACGTGCACATCACCTTTACACCCTGAATCTTTCCCTCAGAGCTTGGCCAGTGGGACTAGCCACTTGCCAGTCTGCCAGGTGTTGTCATAGCAAGACTAACAGCAAGACCTGAGAGGAGGGGCCTCCCAGTGGTTCCCGTGGGCTCCTTGAAACCTGGCTTTGGCATTTGGTGCCACAGCTGGCTGATGCCAGCATCTCTACTTTTGTGTGGGACCGCCAGAGAGGTGGTCCTACCCAATTGTCAGCTCAAGCTAGGGATGGCTATAAATTGTTCACTACAGCCCCTCAGAGGCCATTCCCAGAAAGTGTTGGCCTCTGCCCTCAGGACAAAATATTTATTTTGTTCGATCCCCTTCCTCCGCTGGGGTTTCAGGGACCCTCTTCAAGAGATTAACTTCTGGCCCTGCCAGGGGACATTTTTGGCTGACATCCTGGTCTTGGTCATCCCAGGAAGACACTGGCCTTTTGAGATTCCTCCTTTTCAGCCAATGGGGCTGTCCTCAGGGTCACCTGAGTGGGTGGGAGACCTTCTGATCCCTTCAGTGAATACTCTTCATGTCCCTACCCGGTCTTTCTCCAGGTCGCTACATTTGTGGGTCCTGTGACTGCCATCCCCGTCCTGCTCTTCTCGGGATTCTTCGTCAGTTTTGACACGATCCCAGCCTACTTACAGTGGATGTCCTATATCTCCTATGTCAGGTATGAGTGGGCAGTGGCGGTGGAAGGGGCGGGCCCAGGAACTGAGTGACCGGTGATGGGAGGAGGGACTCACAAAAGCCACTGCTTGGCTGCCCACCGAATCTGCATCCTGACTCCAAGAATATGCTGCTTAGTTTTGTGCCTCACCTTCCCAGTGCACACAGGTACATGCAGACTCCCTCTTTGAAGATGCTATAACATGCATGCCCTCACATTCTGGCCATTTCCAAGGGTGCCTCCATATTTTATGTAATGCCACAACAAGACCCTGATTATAAAACCTAAACAAGGTGCAACAAAGGCACATTGTGCCCTCTCTGAAACATCCCAGCACCTTCCAGCAGGAGTTTCATGGCTCTTTGGGTCCATGGTCTAGCAGAGGTCCATCCCTCTGCTGAATGGCTCTGCACACTGGCCATTCGCAGGGCAGTCAGTGTCCATCCTTAGTACTTGGCCTGTGTCCTCACCCTCACCCCCAGCTGCAGCCATTTCCCTGAATCACAAAGGCCAATGCTGGGAACAGTGCTGCTTTCCTAGAGTGTCAGCTTAGGCCCCTCTACATTGTTCAGGAGAACAAGACAGACACAAAGCCCTTGTACAAACTTTCAGCTGCCTGTGCACTTGCCAATTCTGGGAAACCAGAGACCAGCGCCTTTCTTCTAAAGATTGGTGCTTTTGTTCTGCAAGACAAGGCTGGACCAAAGGGGCTTTATTTAAATGCTCCAGTGTACTCACCAGGATATCCAACAAATAACTAGACCAAAATGGTGTGCAGGATTTGAAGGAAGCCAAATGCATTTTTTTATTTATTGTCCCAGTGGGTTAAATATGGTTCGTTCCATTTTACATTTTCTCTGGTGGCCTTGGAAGAAACAGGATTAGAAACAAAGAGGCTGCTAGGGTGTTGTCTTAGGAAGATGGCTGTGAAGTCAGGACGCAGTGCAGGGGAGGGGACCCCTTAGAAAGGGAAGCCAGCAGAGTGACCTTCCACAATGGATATCCTTCACACCTGGTGCTCCTTTTCCTAGATACGGCTTCGAGGGGGTCATCCTCTCCATCTACGGCTTGGACCGGGAGGATCTGCACTGCGACATTGCTGAGACGTGCCACTTCCAGAAGTCAGAGGCCATCCTGAGGGAGCTAGATGTGGAGAATGCCAAATTGTACCTGGACTTCATCGTCTTAGGCATCTTCTTCGTCTCTCTGCGGCTCATTGCTTATTTTGTCCTGAGATACAAAATCCGGGCCGAGAGGTAAAACACCTGCAGGCCAGCAAGGAGGCAAAGCAGACATTGTGACCAAGGGCACTGCTGGGAGGCAGCAGTGTACCTGCTCCTGGGGACACAGACTCTCCCAACCTAACCTGGAGGCCACGAAGGTCGATGGTGACCAGTGCTCAGCGCCTCTGCCCACCGGGTTGGAACTGTTCGTTTCCTTTTCTAGCTTTAACTAGGAAGATGTAGGATGGTTGGGGTTTTTTTACATGCAGGATTTAAAGTCAACCGGCGCAGAATGTCACCTTGTGGTCTAGCTGGGGACAAGAGGCTTCCTCAGTAGATTTCCTCCTGGAGTCCGAGACACATTAGCCCGGGATGAGGAGTGTTGGCCATGTTGGTCCCCAGAGAGGTGGCTATCTTGGGGGAAAGTCCACACATGCGGGCCTGCACTTGATGACTGTCTCATCTTTCTAAAGTTCGTCTCATTTCTGATGAAGTCACTTTCCGAGCCAAAGTCGATAAATTTCATTCGTTCTGAGAGATTGTACCTTTTCAGTGCTTCTTGAGGACTGATTCAGAGTGTGAAAGGTATGCTTTGCTTAGAAATAGAAGAGTCCCACATAGCCACCGAGTGGGGCTCACAGACACAACCACCGAAGTCAGACAGACGTGGGCTCCAGGCAAGGGAGACCACCACACCAGCTGCTGGGCTGGCAGGGACGAAGAGTGATGTCAACAATGCTGAGGGGGATGTCAGCAGGCCCCTTCCTTCCAGACCTTTCTTTCATATGTTTCTGCTTTAAGTGAAATAGATAATGTCTTCCTACTTTTCTGGCCACTTTCATTTTGCCCAAGAAATACGTAGATCAACTTTGTTGATTTTTAAAGAGCATTTTCCCTTTCTTCATGAATCACATTAACTACCTCCACTAAGCCTGGGAAGCCGGCCTGAAGACATGTTGGTTGTGCCTCTGGAAATGGGAGGGGGGGGCGGAGTGGACAGTGGGACATTGGTGAGGGGCAGGCCAGCCAAGTAAGGGGAGGTGCCGTGGATGTCCCCTTTAGGAAAACTCAGCTGCTTGCTTCTAGAGCACCCCCATCCTGGGATGGAGTCTCCCGAAAAAGCCTGTATTTTTGTGGCTAGGTCCGTTTACCCCCTTGAGCCTTCATGCCTGTAAGTAATTGCACTAGATGATGCTCTGGCAGGTCCTGAGATTCCTCGGTTGTGGCCTTGAAGTTTTCATATCTTACTTGTAGAGAATGATAAGGGTCCGAATTTTACTTAAACGCATGGATGTGCTTTGAAAAATATTTAGAGATTCTTTTTATTTTTTTCACTCCTAGATCTTTTATAGAGAACACAATTGAAATGCATATTACAATGTAATTTTCAGTTTGCTTGTTCTATACAAACATGGCATTGCCTTCTAGATTCAGCTTTTAACCAGGGACATGATCTGCCTTTATAAAAGTCTTCATTTAAAAAGAAAAAAAAAAAAACCTCTTCATTTAATTTCAAGATGTTAGGTGTCACATTGTATCCAGTGAGGAACTGCATACTGTTGGCTGGAGAAGTATGAGTTAAAAGGGAGATGGGTGGCCAGATCTCAGACTTGTTGAGGTCAATGCCAAGGATCCCATTCCTCCCGTGAGTCTCCACTTACTGTAATGGGTCATGCTTGGCAGGATATACCAGGTGCTGCATTTCTCCACTAAGACTGCTCTGCTGTCAATCAAAGAGGTGGAGTGGTCCATGTTTCATATCTGGAAGAATGTCTCACCATCTGGAGGAGTTCTTTGCTGTCCAGGTTTCTCCTTGCCACTGTGAATAGCTTGTCACCACCCCCTAGTAAGTGAGGATGTAATGAGGTCCTTCCATAGGCAGAGCTGGTCCACTGCTGATGGGCAGGATGACAAGGGCAGTTGTGAAAGGATGTTGACCACAACAGGCAAGGGGTCAGAAGTCACCTCACAGGACAGCACTGTCCACTTGTTCTGCAGACCTGAGGAAGACTAACAGCCATACTAAGGGATGCTACATCCTTGTCTCTCATCCAGTGTCTACAGGTGCCCAGATGTGTGGCTCTGCTTACCACCATACATAGTCTGGATTCCAGAGACACAGTCTGGATTTTCTAGATCATTCCCTTGTCTTCCTCTTCCTGTTTGTCTCTGTCATGGTAGGTGGTATCCGGCAGTGTGTGCCCTTCCTGACTTTGATGTTAAAGTCAGACTTCCCTTGTAGTTGGGTTCCATGTGACTGTAAGGACCCAGGCCTTCCTTTTATCCCTAGCTGAGTTCCTTCAGTTGAAAGGAAGGATTCCATCAGGTTAAAGGCTACACTGTCTCCTCATGTTAGGCAGCATTTGCAGGGATCTCATCAGAGAGTGAGGCCTGTGGGGCCCTGCCAGGCTGAGATTCAGAAAAGGCTGGGTCAAGGGCGGGGCTGCTGCCCTCTGTCCAGTCCCCCACTTTTGTCCATCCTGCCCACCTCCTCCCCCAGCCTCTCCTGCTTCCTCTTCTACCCTTTGTCAAGAGAGAGTTGAACTCTCCAGGGGTTCTTCCAGGGAGGGGACAAGTCCCTGAGCACTGAAGTAGATGCTAGACTTTTATGGGGGGAGGGCACCATTAGGACCAGAAAATGGAACATACAGCTTTTTGGTAAAACCCATCTTAGAAGCCCAAAGAAAGGTCATTTTATCAGCCAGGGGCAGACAACAGAGGGGGGAAATGCCTCTGGGTGTGTCTGTGAGAACAGAAAAACATCGGAGGTGAGCGGCTTCCCTTGACAGTGTCTGGGCACTGTGCTGCCCCTTTCTGGCTTCTCCGTCCATCCGTCAAACAAACCTTCACTGATCTGCTTTCCCTGTGTCATTTCAAGCCCAGCGTCAGGGAAGGGACCTTTCTCAGGCCTTGCCCCAGTAGGCAGCTACTTTACTCTGCTCATCTATGTAGCGCTGAGTCGGAAAGAGGCTGGCAAGGTGCTGAGGAGCATCAGAGCCCGTGTCACACATCAGAGTCCCTGCTCTCTGGCTTTTCCAGCCATCATTGTTCAAACAGTGCAAATAGACCGGGAGTGCTTAGACACCAGCACAACACCAGTGCAGTGGCTGTCTACTTGGTCACTCATTTTACCACTGAAGAGGAGGCCAAGATGAGAGGCCAGTCTGCTCTTTGTCGAGGAACTTACATCCAAATGCCCATGATGAATGTCACTAGCCCACAGAGGGGCCTGCCTCACTGTGTCCTATGGAGGTAGTCCTGTTCTCTCCCATCTGAGCTTCCCAAGGCACCACTGTTGGGCCACTTCAGGTCAGAGACATTGGTGTCCATGAACTTGTGCTATTCGTGTATTTGCACACACACACTCATGTACAAACTCATATGTGCACAAGTGCAGGCCCACTCGCACACATGTTAGATCGTGTTATTCTGTGTCTCTCCCTTCATGTCAGTAACATACCAGCCTCCAAGCATTTCCCATCACCTTTACTCCAAGGAGGAATGACAAAATTTATCCATGCATGTGGTGCAGGAGATGAAAGTCCAATGGAAAATCCATCCAGGCTATTGATAAGACACCAGCTGACTGAGAAGGTGATGGAAAGGCAGACAGAACCCAGCCGGGGAGCTCAACTGTAGACTGTGTCAGTGTAAAGTTAGACACTTGGAAGAAATAAAGACTGCAAATAAAATATTTTATATAAAATTTTTACATACATTTGGTGTCAAATCTATGTTTCTACTGTGTGAAGATGCATGGTCTGCCTGGTAAGAATTCTAATTGGCTATATGGTCTGACCCACTGTGGAGTCAGCCAGCTCTCTCTAGCACTTTCTATGCATCTGTCTTTAAGTTGTGTTTCCCCAGATGTCTGATCCATGTCCTCTGCTGTGATCATATGGCCATGGTCTCCAGCAGCACCAGGTAAGGCTCGAGCCACTGGAACATGAAGGCTGCCACCACCACAACCCCATAGGCACAGCCAAGACAACCCTGCACATTGCTTCTCCCATGTTCCAGGATTGGGGCAGCTGCATCAGAGAGTGTCCTGCTCAGGGCCCTGCTTCTGCAGGAGATAGGTTTCGGGCTTAGGCTTGGGTTCTGGGAAGCAGATGCTAGCCAGCCAGGCAGCCCTCACATGGCTGTGTGTGATCCGCTAGAGATGTGGGCTCCCAAGCTCTCAGCCAGGTGACCTTCTGGAATTCACTTTTGAAGCACAGCAGTGGCCTAGGGCCAAGGTTTCAAACTATACCTCCCATCTCTAGGACACAGTAGAGCCCCTGAAGAGTGGGTCAAAAGGGCACAATCCAATGTCTCCTACAATATCCTACAACATGGGAGGAAGGGTAACAAGTGAGCATGCTGAGTGTGGCCCAGTTTGTCTTGAGCTCCACTTCCTGTTGTCTCTATGCCAACATGGCCCCTTCCTCTAGCAGATGTCTGCGGCCTTTGCAGGAAGATAGAGGCCAGCGAAGAAGCCAATCCTATGTGCACCCTGCATGACTGATTGCAAGGGACAGGGACTGCGCTTTGGCCCTGATGCCTGTGCATCCTCAGGACTGTCCCTGGTGTCAAAGGGAGACAACAGTCTAACCATGTGTCTCCCCCATCCAGATCATCAGTGGGTGCAGCTCCAGGTCCCCCAGCTGAAATGATCACTGCAAAGTAGAAAGCTAGGAAAGCAAGTAGAAAGGCCCCCTTGTTTGACACAAATGCAGAGCTACACACGCCCATACCCTGCTCTTTAAGGCTTCAGGTATCATGGAGGCACAGGTTCACTCTGGGGCTCTCTAATACAGAGTTGTGCCTGTCTAAGATGCTGTTGTGACATTCCCACCATCTCTGCCTTTCAGGTCCATGGGTATGGCTCAGGATTAATGTCACTGAGATGCCTTTTGACCATGAGATCTTGCAAAGTTCACTCATGTCTTAGGGTTTCTATTGCTGTGATAAAGCACCATTATCAAGGCAACTTGGGGAGGCAAGGGCTTATTTGGCGTATTTCCATACCATTGTTCATCACTGAAGGAAGTCAGGGCAGGAACTCAAACAGGGCAGCAAGCTGGAGGCAGGAGTTGATGCAGAAGCCATGAGGGGTACTTCTTTCTTGTTTGTTATTCATGGCCTTGCTCACCTGGGACCACCAGCCCAGAGATAGCACTACCTACAATGGTCTTGGTCTTCCCTATCAATCACTAATTAAGAAAATGCCCTTTGGGCTGGCCTACAGCCCAGTCTTACAGAGGAACTTTCTCAGTCGAGGTTCCCTCCTCTCAAATGATTTTAGTTGGTGTCAAGTTGACATAAAACTATCCAATGCAGCTCCACAGGCAGAACAGCAAACCTTGGCATGAGCCCACAGCTCTTTCAGTGCGGTCTCTCAATGCGGCAGTGTTGGTTGAAAACAGTGCTTCTCAACCAGTGGGTTGTCACCTAACCATCAGAAAACAGAGATGTTTGCGTAATGATTTATAACAGTAGAGGAATTACGGGTATGGAGTAGCAATGCAAACAGTTTTATGGTTGGAAGTCACAACATGAGGAACGATCAAAGGGCCAGGGCATTGAGGTTGAGAACCGCTGGCCCAAACCTTCCTCCCCTGAGCACACTGTACAGCAGCTCTCAGCAAACTTTTCCAAATGAAGCCCTACCCTCCCCCTCCCCGGGGACCTGATTGTCACATCCTTTGCTGGGTGAGATGCAGCCTGCTTTGAAAGGACAATGACAAGTGCATGTAGGTGCCCAAGGGTGTTCTCTAGTGGGCACTGGGGCTCCAAACTCAGTTTGTGGAGCATCCTGTCCTCTAGAAGACAAGGGAGGCAGATTAGGGTTGGAGGTAGGGTTGGGGAGGTGGGGTTACAAGTTGAAAAGGCAGCTGTGGCCAGGCCAGTGGTGGCAAGGACAGCTACAGAGATAAGCAAGTATTAATTTCTGTGCCCAGAGAAGGCTGGAAATAGAACAAGGTTAGCCTGGAAGACACTAGCCATCTCAGAAGTGACAGGCAGGACCCCTGGCAACATACCCTCAATTCTCAGAGCACAATCTCAGATTCTTCTGCCTGAGTGGAAAATTGAGAGAGAGAGAGAGAGAGAGAGAGAGAAAGAGAGAGAGAGAGAGAGAGAGAGAGAGAGAGAGTGTGTGTGTGTTTAATCAGACAACAGGTTTGCAGCCACCATGAGCACACAGGACCCTGGATAGTCACAAACAGAGGCAGGACTCTATGGGAGGACACTTGGCACATCATAGCCTCTCACAGCCTTCTCCCCACATTCATATGACACTCACAAATACACCCCAAGTTTCCAAACACCCATAGGGCAATACAGTAAGATTATGTCTCTGCGCCCCAATACACCACGAGCCCTATGTAGGTAGCAGCACAAAGATGGCCTTGGATGGGGGACACCTATCTTTGATCCCCCTGTGTCCCACAGCTCCACAGGACATCACAGGCATGCTGCAGGGTGACACTGACACTGGGCTTGCCAACCACAGCCAAAAGGTCTCAGGGCCTTGCTGGCTCGTCACAGTGTCAGAGGGGATTAAAAATCATAGGTCACCACACAGTTCAAATCTGCTCAAGCAAATGCTGGCTCAGAGTTGGATGCTGCCAGCAGGCAGGGGCATATAGAAAGCTAGAAAGCAGTTGGCAAGAGGTGAGGAGCAGTCCCCACTCCAGGCTGCCAGCAGAGGGCGGTGTGATTCAGTCCTGCTGGGCTCACAGCTGCCTTCACTTAGGCCTGGAAGACACACCCAGGATTTCTGGTGTGAATGCCACGGGCTCCTGGAGTGTTGTCAGATTGCCTTCAGCTGAGCCCACACCATCCTCCCCAAGGCCCTGAGTCTCCCTGGTCAGGAAGGGCCAGGCAGAGGTAGACTGGTGGGTACTGCAAGCAAAGGGAGATGAGGGCCAGGCCTGCTGCACCCCCAGGAGAGCAAAGGGAGTTCAGTGCCCCAGCATTATAGAGAAGGGGTGCTCCCTCAAAGTGACAGGGACTGAGAGGCTTGACTAAGGACCAGAGAGGGACAAGCTGCGCTTTCCTTCTACAAGCTTCAGACAGGAAGGAGGCCGGTGAGCATGAACAGTGACAGGTTAGTACAGCCAAGCTGGAACCCTGAAGTTCAGATCCTATGGACCATTACAAACAGCAGCTCTGGAACTGGGTTTGTATAATTTGTATATTTGTATAATGCAAACACAGACTTTACAAGTCAGAAGTTTTCTAAAGGCTTGGGGGTTCTTAATCTCCAAAGACAATCAAATCTGAGCCCTCCTGCCAGCTTGGAAGGCCCTGAGCTGTTAACCCTGGCATGGACCTTCTCCATCCTCTCCATACATTCACCACAGCAGGCCCAGGGACTGATGATTCCCGTGGGGACCTCTGTGACCCTGTTCTCTTTTTTCCAGGGCCTCTTTGATTGAATTTTTGACACTGAGATAACACCTCTGCAATGGGACACTAAAAAAAACTTGCCCCTGTGCCTAGGTTTACTGACCAGATCCTCTGGGTCCCTCCCTTCAAGCAGAGCAGGGATAAGGGTGAAGGAAGCCAGGCACTTAGCCCACATGACAATGTGCAGGGGTCACCAGAGAGCTCGATGCTCAAGCTCCCACCTTCAGATACCATTTAAAATTAAAAGTCGGGCTGGAGACACAGCCTAGTAGTAAAGACTGAGGTGAACCTAAAAGTGTCCTTCCTGAGCTTGGCAGGTGGACAGCTAGAAAGCCTCCTTTGGGTCTGAAACAGGGACATCCTGGCAACTTCACTCTAAGCTGTAGTTTGGGGACATGGTGCCTACAGAGAGACTTTCTGTTGTGTCCTGTTGTGTGTGGGCCAAGGCAGTGACAGCTCACTTCTGATGTGATGCCCAGAGTTCTGAAGTGGGGGTCCGAAGTCCAAGGTCACTAAGGAGGGTGGGGACCAGGCTGAAGTGCTATGTAAAGTGTTCACTTGGCATGGAAATGTACAGAAAATCAACCATCAAGTTAGATATAATCAAAAATAATGCAGAAATATGCAACACACAAAATGTCAAAATTCTGCACTTGGATAACCGTGCCCCACTTCTACACTGTAATCCTGGCCCTGCTTCCCAATAAACCTTTATTTATAAAAGCAATTGGGAACCAAGGAGGCAGGTGCTTTGCCTATCATACAGTCTCAAACATCTGTCTCCAAACTTTACTCTGAGTCTTATAAGTGGTGGGTTCCTACTGTTTCCCCTTGTGCTTCTGGGGTATTACGGTCACTGTAAGTCAGTATAAGATGCTTTCAATATGAAAGGTAATTTTGTTTTTATTTTCAATTGTGAAAGATCATATTGGATCATTATTTCAAGTGCAGTGGTGTTTATTGGGACCAAGGCCTTGTCCAAGCAGAAGAAACCATGGAACCCCAGCTCAGTGAAGAATGTTTTCTGGCCACTGGGCTGTGTAATTGGGATATGAATGATGTGGCCTCAATAGGGTCCCCTTTGGGAGCAGAGCTAAGGATCAGCCATGTAGTACAAGCAGGAGCCTCCACCCCAGGCATTCCAATAGTGGGTGCAGAGAAAGGCCACACCAGCAAATGAAGACTGGGGGACCAAACAGCTGTGGCACTATAGGGATATGAGATGCAGGCCACTGCTCTGTGCCCTTTAAAAAAGGGGAGAGACCTACAGTGATGCAGATGTTAAATAAATACAAATCAGGAGAGAATAGTAGATGGTTTTCTTAGTCTGCTTCCTTAATAAGAAAGCCATGAAGATGTGTAAATCTTGTAGGAGATGTGGTTTGGGTATTTGTTGGGTTTTTTGTTTGTTTTCTTCTCATAGAGGAAACATGTTCTAGAAGGTTCTATCAACCTGACAGAGTCTAGAAAGCAGTCACAGTTGAGGGCCTTCCCAGATCAAATGAGCCTTCCCGGGGCTGGGGCAGATCTTTTCTTACTTGTTCATTGATGTAGAAGAGCCACCTTGGGTGGCACCACCCATAGGCCTGGGCTTTATAAGCAAGTCAGCTGAGCAGGAGCCCAAGACTGCCAGCAGGAGGCATCCTGTTTTCTGCTTCAAGTTCCTGCTTGAGTTCCCTCAGTGATGGGACTGTGACCTGGAGGGTCAGCCAGATAAACCCTTCCTCCCCTGAGCTGATTTCCATCAGAATGTTTCATTACAGTATGAGGGAACTAAGACACTGGCCTTGAGGACCCCTGGCTGAAGGCTCTTGCTCTCAGTGTGTTGCAGGAACTCAGGCTCAGTTCCCTTTGAGCCTGGGGATACCCTTCCCTCAATGAAGTG